GTTACAGATATTTTTGGGGAAAATATAAAAAAATAAGATTTCTAAATCAGTTTAGTAGTTTCGGAGCTAATCCAATAAGAAGAAACAAGCAATATACTTAATTTTTATTATTACAAAGGTTTTTAGTATCCAAAGTTTGTGGATCAATCTCGTTTCTTGACTTGACAGAAATTCAATGTCAAAAATCGATATTATTACAAAGGTTCCACGTTGAGATCGGGTCGCAAGATTGATACTAGCATAAGAATTCATTCATTCATTCATTCATATATGCTTTATTGTACACATTTATGTAGTTTAAGATAATTCAGTTCTTGGATCAATTAATAATAATAAACATTCGTATGTAAGCAAGACTCGATTCCTTTATTCAGCACATTAAATTATGCTGAGACCAGATACCGCTGGTTCAAGTAATAGCAACTTAATGCATTACCCACCTTGGAGGCCCGTTACCTAGCCTGTTTCATCCTACACAGATAATCTAGTCAACTAGGCGGCTTGACGGTTAATGCCTTTGCCTGACAATAGTTTCATTTAAAAAATAAAGTCTGTTCTTTTTTTGAAAATGGCGCGCGTTCTGAACACGGTTAGCAACCATATTATACAGGGTGTCCAAGAACCTGGCGTCCAACTGGATTCCCACGATGCCCCAAGTTCTAACAGTACTCAGAAAAATATTTTAAAAAATCCACCCCATGTACTTACAGAATTATACTGATTTCAAAAAAAAAGGGGAAATGAGCACCCTGTGACATACTTTTGAATGCTGTGACTGCTAATGCTGATAATTTCGATATTTCTTGGAGGTTTTGTAATCTAGGGTATTGCTGTGTCTAAATAGAATGTAAAAATAAAGTACTTATTGTACCATTTTAAAATAAAGTATTATTTTAACTAAAGGTGATATGGAAAACTATTGAATTTCGCAACTTTGACCGACTGTAGTGTAAAAAAAATGTACCAAAATAGTATGGCAAGTGACGTCAAATTTTGACGCGTTTATTCCTCTTTTTAAAAAGGTATAATACTTACACATTAATTTGAAAAAAAAAAATTTGATAATATTTTTACTCAACAACCCAATTTTTACGAAGTGCCTACCTACTAACGGTAACTGTCGGACCCTTTCTTATCTTAGAAACTGTTATGTTACTACTATTATTTACTTCGGTTCCAAGAGTGAGCAAGAAGGAAATACACACAGGTAGATGGGTTCCCAGTAGAATAAAAGCAAAGAATGTTAGTTTAAAGATATTTTATTACAATAAATGTTCAAAATGTTGACCACGCGGCAATACAAGCTCTCACTCTCCTTAAAAAGGACCGCTTTATGTTTCGCGAGTAACTTTTTTGACGTATCACCTGCACTGCTTGTGTTATCTTCTCACGAAGGTCAGCGATGTCATTAATGGGCTTCGCATAAACGAGCTCCTTCATAGTTCCCCAAAAAAAAAATCCAGCGGATTTAAGTCAGGTGAGCGGGCTGGCCACGGGATTGTTCCTGATCGCCCAATCCACCTGTTCGGGTATTGCTCGTCCAAAAACTCTCTAACGGATACGCGAAAATGTGCTGGACAGCCGTCGTGTTGGAACCACATATCTGGTGGGGTCTCTTCTAGTAAGTTTGGCAAATCATTTTGAAGAAAATTTAAATATGATTCGCCAGTCAAATTCTCGGGCATCTCAAATGGACCAATAATATTCCCACAGAGAATACCGGTCCACATGTTCACTTTGAACCGGTACTGGGATCTACCTTCTCGCATCAAGTGCGAATTTTCCACATGCCACTCGTGCAAGTTGTGTAGGTTCATGTAGCCATCCTTCTTAAATGTTGATTCATCTGACCACAAAATTTTGTCGATAAAGTTTTCGTCTTCTCGATGTTTTTGCAGGATTGTTTCACAAAACGCGACTCGGCTCGGATAGTCTCGAGGTAAAAGACTTTGCACTCGCTGTACGTGGTACGGATGATATTCTTCTTTTTGGAGAATACTGTGTGCTGTGCTCTTCGGTATCCCCGTATCAGCTTCTATTCCTCGCACAGAGATGCTTGGATTTGCCGACACCGCCTCTAAAACTTCATCGCGTATGAAGTCATTTACGGGTCGTCCTTCACCAGCTACTTGATTGGGGAACCGCCCGTCAAATAGTGATCTGTGCACATTAATGAAAACTCGATGGTCGGGATATCGCGTAGCCCTCGGATACCTCTGTAAAGTCTCGCTGCAGCTCGTCCATTACCTCTACATTCTCCATAAATGTAGTGCATATTTGCGTATTCTTGCGGAGTCCAAACACAGGCAAAGGTCGTCGTAAAGAGTTCGTTTCAAAGTCCAGAGCACAAAGAGTAATCGAGTCCAATAAACAAAGCTTTAAATCGTAGTACGTGATCAATGGTAACAATAAGAGAGAGGTGCGTAGTAACGGCAGGAGGCAGTGACGCGTACTGACCGTACTGTTATCCTAAATAGCACGATCTCAGATAGCGTCACTATCTATCTCACTCGCACCTCTAACCTTTTTCTCCCTCACTCTTACCTGAATAATGGGGTACCATAAAGAAGAACCAGCAAATCGCAAAGATAGTTTCTGTCTTGCTCCCTCCTGTTGTAATAACGAATCACTATGGTGAGATGCATGAGAGGCCTGTTGTTATTTTTATGAGCATACAATAGTAATTCTTTAGAGGTTAGATTCAATTCGTCGTAAATTTTTCTTTCTAAGAATTCTGTAAGACATCGTAAAAATTGGGTTGTTGAGTAAAAATATTGTCAAAAATTTTTCTTTTTTCAAATTAATGTGTAAGTATTATACCTTTTTAAAAAGAGGAATAAACGCGTCAAAATTTAACGTCACTTGCCATACTATTTTGGTACATTTTTTTTACACTACAGTCGGTCAAAGTTGCGAAATTCAATAGTTTTCCATATCACCTTTAGTTAAAATAATATTTTATTTTAAAATGGTACAATAAGTACTTTATTTTTACATTCTATTTAGACACAGCAATACCCTAGATTACAAAACCTCCAAGAAATATCGAAATTATCAGCATTAGCAGTCACAGCATTCAAAAGTATGTCACAGGGTGCTCATTTCCCCTTTTTTTTTGAAATCAGTATAATTCTGTAAGTACATGGGGTGGATTTTTTAAAATATTTTTCTGAGTACTGTTAGAACTTGGGGCATCGTGGGAATCCAGTTGGACGCCAGGTTCTTGGACACCCTGTATATTAATAATTTCGTCAAGAGGTACGGTACACTCGATCGAAACATTACCTGAATAACAAAACATAAAAAAATATCTATTTCGAGTCGACAACATATATCCGCAAAATTCGGATTACGGTGATTATTTTGTTTTATTAATTCATTTTATTGACACTTACAGACAAACCGCAGTCGCCATCTTGAGTAGACAATAAACGTTTCGTTTCATACTAGCTCTCAAATACGCCTCGCCAATCAACACGTCGTCGCATCAAAAAAGTATAAATTAACAAGAAATGTGAATAATTTCACGCGAACGAAGTCGCGGATAACAACTAGTTTTAAATAAAAAAATAATTATAATAGTAATTGCATCATATTAAAATTTCTAGATTTTGATAATGACATATTTAATAGAAACGAACATTGTAACCGTGAATCGTCACGCTTGTGGTTTGAGTGGTAGAGATATAAGTATCGTATTACCAAATATCCTGTAAGTCTGATACTACTTCATGCTAGAGAATTCAACTGCATAAATAAAATAAAAGACACCTACTTATAAATAATAATAGTAGTAATGGATGAAAGTAGAAACTGTGTGACTGCCTCATTGGCCGAGTAGCGGCAAGTGCGACTGCCCGGCAAGGGATCTCGGGTTCGATTCCCAGGTAGGGCAAGTATTATTGGATTTAAAAAAAATCTCAGTAGTAGCACGGAATTTGGAAATGCGCCCGGTATATGGCAATAGGCTCACCCCCTATTACATGGGACTCATAACATAAAATAGTGAAAAGTATGTGTTACATAGTACAGTGGCATTAAGTGCCGTAATGTGCACCTCTGCCTACCCCTTCGGGGATAATAGGCGTAAAGTTATGTTATGTTAGCTATGTAGAGTAACAAAAGAGCAGAGCGGATGCGAATGGGGCCGTGTGTAGAGGGGGCCCTAGACTGCCATATACTGACCAAATTAATTATATATTAAACTGTCAAACACCGCGAGGACACCGGTGACCGCAACCTATTGTTCTTTAATTGTATCTATAATGACGGTACTCAAATGGTTAAAGAAGGGCCAAACTAAAAGTACCTACCCTTAACCGACGAGCATGCATGAATAGACTGATGACTGTTGATGAAGCGAAAGAGGTATGTAAGAATCGTAGAAATTGGCGTTCCATAGTCGCTGTCTACCACCACGGGAGACCGGAGTGAAGTTATGTATGTAAATAAAATAAAGAATACATAACTATAAAAAAATAGTTGTAGATTTACTTATGTCCAATTAAATACACATAATTTAAATAACATGAAATCTATATCAATTATGATAATAGAACAATCATAATGGATACAATTTAAATCTTTAAGATACCAATAAATGTTTACACTTTAAATAAAAATACCTATGCTAGATTTACAAATAAATTCTGTTCTGTCAAATTCCTTTATTAGATTATCACCTACAAATGTATTTATTTTTATTTTAAAAGGCTTCATACACATTATTATTATTGTATTTTGTGACGGTGTGCAAATAAACAATTTTTCTTTCACATACTAAAATGTACAAGGTAGGCTCTATGCCATGGGCATTCTCTTCCAGCCAGACCTTTGGGTGCTGCAGAGACAAAAATAATGGTCCATGCAAGAATCAAGTTCATACATATTGTTTAGATATAAAGTCCAAAATCCAAATTATTTGGCTTCTGTACTTGTATAACTTTTGGAGTTCAAAACTTGTGTAGAATCCTGCTTAACCTCAGTAACTTGGTTCTCAGGTCCTCTATCCATTGGAGTGCCAGGCGAGCTTCGTGGCATGTGGGCGGCCCACAAGAGATGGGGCAAGTTACCCTGGGAGAACCTGGTGGCTCCAAGCCTGGATCTGTGCAGAAACGGCTTCGCTATGTCCAAGGTCATGTATGATGGACTAGAGAGCGCTCCGTACATCAAGAATGATCCTCATCTTAGGTAAGTTCAATAATAGATGTATCCTGTCTTCTTTTCTTTTGGTAACGTACTTTGGGTTAAAAATGCACACTAGAATCAAGGACTAAAAGAGCAGAACCGAGTCTTTAGGCTAGATTCCACACTATCCCATTATAAAATGGCTACCATGGAAATGTCCATTTTGGAAGCACCTAAAAGGACAATATCACAATAAGGCAATGACTACACGGTTGGTGCGGTAACTGGGCACCCCGTTGCCGCGAAACATGTCGCCAGTTCTATTCCCGCACGGAACAACTCTTTGTGTGATCCACAAATTATTGTTTCGGGTCTGGGTGCCATGTGTATATGAAGTTGTATGTTTGTAAACGCACACACGACACAGGAGAAAATGTGTGGGGCAACGTGAAAAAATCACACCTAATTTCTTAACAAAATAAGAAAAACATGTATCTGTACGTATAGGTAATGTTTCTATGTTCTTAATATACGTATGAAACTATGAACGTGTTCTTAGTACCGACGTTTATGTCTTTGTACTTTATCAACAACTTCCTTAAGCTATAAATATAAAACGCTTCCTCTACGGAGACTTGATGTTAATTTATTGGCACACAAGTCTTTTTATATCACATTCCTTGAGTTTATTGCTTTATTATACAAACTAGCCCTTGTTCTGCGGTTTCACTCGCTATCTTTCTTGTATCTATCGTAGTTGAATGATAGGAAATGTTAGCCCCCTAAAAGATAGAAGACAGAGGCCAAATATCATCTTCATTATCATCGTCAGCTCGTTTCCATTCCTCGATGAATATAATATATCTGAATAATAATACAATCCAGTCGTACTTGATGTTATGAACTTCATATAGTATCCCACCACAGCCGGCGTCGCGTTCCGCGCGCGCCTCAAAAAGCCATCAGACCACCTCGGATGGGGCCCAATGGGGCTGATGCGGCATTCGGAGTCGCGGAGAACCTAACGGGTTACCGAGGCTCCGGCTCGAAGTGCAGCAGTAAGAACGGGGTAGTTTTTAGTCAGTAAGAGTCTGACACTCCCTCTCGCCTCACCCAGGCAGGAGAAGTCATTCGATGATTTCCCCCTTAAAAAAAAACTACCTAGTACCTACTACCAAAACTTGCCTTAATGCAATGCTAAATCGGCATTTATTCAAACAGCAAAACATATAGTTCACAATAATAACAAACAATAAGTAAAACAATAGTAAGCTGATACTTAGTAAATTTTTGTCTGCCACAGCTAATTACTTGTCAATTAATTATGATAAATGACAACAAAACAGCACAAACAGATTAGTTGCTAAATCGATAGTTTTTTGTTTTTGTGTTTTACCTATCTTTCAGTGTTGATACTTTGTACCGACATCGGCAGTATACAATAGTATCTACCTATTTATTTCAAACTTCGTCCGCGTAGAATATGAATTTTAAAACAAAACTTTTTTCTTGATTTAATTTTCAAAAATAAAAGTAGCTTATGTTACTCCGTAGTACATCTACCTGCCAATAAAAATCCATTTCATCATCATTCATCCATCCCATAAGTCGGTCCAGCCATTTCAGAGATTAATCAATACAAACAGACAGACAGACAGACAAAAATTGTAAATAATGTTATTTTTGTGTATGTATCCTATGTATATTCATATGCATGTAGTTGTTGCAGTTATTTTAATATTACAAACAGACATTACCATTTTATTTGTATGTATACATCTTCCTAAAAACGTGCAAATAAACGTTCTTATTATTCTTCAATATAAACAAAACTCTTCTATAAACAATAGTATTTCGTGTAAACCGCACTTAATAAAAGATGTTCAGTAGTTTTTGAGCTTATTGCGACCAGACAGGAGACACGGTCTTAATACGACATTTGTAACTATGCAGGTACTTTAAACGTTGAGGTACGTGCTGGAGTACCAAAATGTACCCGTTTACTATACTTTTACACATTTGAATGAATTTAGGTCAGTGAAATAAAGTCATGAAGACGGATGTAACCCAGTGCCAGATTAATCTCAATTAGGATATGAAACAAATTCATAACCGCCTCAGAGATATTTTTTTTAAATCGGTCTGTATGCAAAGATCCAATCGAACATTCCACTCAGGTTACAGCAAACTTCCAAGATACTCTATTTTTCAAGACTAGGGTCTCCTTAAATTTACTTCGGGTTCACGTTTGATTAAGCTGTCCATTTACAGCTTTGTCGCATCATTATGTCGCCTGCGCAACCCAAGCATCGATCAAGAAACAGTATTAAACTTGAAGCAATTGAATCGAGACCATATTTACACGATGTCTTCCTTTACCCATATTAAATCGTCACAAGGAAGTTCGAGCGTTTCCTTATTTCTTAAACAAACGAAGTGTGTTTATTTGTCTCATACACTGAAATACAAATAACTATTTATTTTTCATATTGTCTGCAAAAGTAGCAACAGAGGCTTATGGTCACCGTAGTCTATGTAAACTCAAACTGATGTTGTACCTACATTTCTCTCTATAATTCCATAAAACAACTATGACTATATTAATCAGTAATTACTGAGGTCCACAGTGAACAACTGTATAATTTAATACGAGGGGTCCTCAATCCTTTGAGGAACGTAAAAAATAACCACGTAATGAAATTCATCATTTAAATAAGTATATCAAGGTTCTTGTTTATCTCCAGGAAAATGTACTTCAACACGGCTAAAGGCCAGTTCCACAAACCTGGCACGATTATAAAACCCAGTGAAGCTCTGTGCAACACCTACCAGAGGATAGCTGAGAACGGGGGCGATGACCTCTACAACGGGACGCTTGCAGCTGATCTCCTGGATGACCTGGAGAGGGTCGGCAGCATCATCACTGCTGATGATCTAAGGCAATACGAGTAAGTCATCGTTTTATTTGTTTTAGAAATTTGAGAGCAATATATTCTTGTTACCTAATTGGAACTTTAACTAGATCTATTTTAGTTATTACTTATTGTGAAACATAACTTTATTTAGTTTTAACAATATTCTTATTGTCTACTTACCGTACATGGACCTTAGTATCACACATAACAATCCTTGATTGATGACTGATCTGATAAGAATGATCTTTATCTTCTAATTATAAAAAAAATATTAAAAAAGAATATAAACGCTAAAGTGGCGCTCTCTAGCCATAAGAATCATCTTCTGTACAGTCGTGTAGGTATTTACGTCAGATGTGATAAGTACGTGATCGCGTGGGTTCCTAATTCCTATACCTCAACCTACATAACGATTATGATGAATTAACAATGCATTTATTCGGTATTGTATGTAAATAAATGCAGGAAGGAACAGTTTGGTAATCGTTTAATGAATTATTAAATCGATTGTATAGTGGATAAATTGCCTATTTTGATAGAAGCATTATTATTTACATTCTTAACCTACTGGTCAAGTTCATAATGATGAACCAAAAGACATGTTTAAAAATGTTTGGTATTTTGGCAAAAGATACCGATATATTACATGTAAGACATTGTTACAACACTAGCAGGCAGTATGGTGTAGAACAGTATTTTAATGGTGTTGTGTGCTTGGTTGAATAATTTCAAAAGGAAATATTTATTATCATTGTTGTTTTACAAAATGGCACAAAATAAAATCTTGTTTAATTGCACGAACAAAGTTGGAAGTACGTGAGTTACGATATTCTTAGTATCGCCAGTAAACGCAACGGCTCTGCGACTCTTAGGTCATCTGGTCAAACTGTATAAGTATGTATGCACAGATAGTACTTATACTATACTCTTATGTATGTTGTTGTAGGTCAAAGGTCCTTTTAACGTTCGTGCCACTACTTAAACTAGATATAAGTAATAGAACATTTTCCTCATTTCTCTACTCATTCTAAAAGGTTCAACAGGTGAGATTGAAATACCATGCTATTTAGAAGCCTATACGGAGCGGAGGACTTAACGGTTTGCCGGGGATCCGGCTCAAAGTGCAGGAGTAGGAGCGGGGTAGTTTTAGTCAATAAGAGTTTGACGCTCTCTCTCGCCTCACCCGGGCGGGAAAAGTCGTTGGATGATTTTCGCCCCTTAAAAAAACGCTAAGTGGATAAATTACAAAAGAAGTGGTACTTAGTATAAGTTCATATCTAGTTTTTAATTTTCACAAAGGTAATTCAACTTACATACCTAATGCCAAATTCAATGTTAGTGTACCTAATTAGAATCAATTTTTACGGCCACCATGTGATAAAATGGCACGGTGCAAGGTCATAACTTTATTGTAATGAGAAATGTATAGAATACTTAGTCTCTATAAAATATTCTGTGCTCATTTTTTATCTTCGTCTACTGCTCTCCACTACCTACATTATAGACCTTATTTCCAATGCTTAGAGAATACTTTTGTATGAACAAATTTAGGGGATGAATTTGAACGGGTTAATGTATATGTATATCTCTCCTCTCTTTGGTCGCAGTCAGATCTTAGGAAAGAGAGAGAGAACATCTATAATTGTGCATTAAATTATACTTAAACCACTAGGTTCATACACTAAGTAGTAATAATATGTCCTGTGGTATGGGGTATATTCAAAGTTAAAGCATTTATTTCATTAAATTCTTAACTAAGCACTTTCGAAACGTCAAAATTCAATTGTCCGTCAGTCTGTCTATTAGTATAGTTTTGAATGAAGAAGAACGATAAGGAAATTCTACCGTTACTCGTTTAAATCGTTTAAAAAACATTTCACAATCGATTAATTGTGAAAATTGTTTTAATGAATCGTAGTAATGGAAGTATTTATAAATTTACCTGCAGCTATTCAAATACTACAAAACAGTGGTTCTATCAACAAGAAACCAATAAGTGCGCAGTTACAGAAATTCCTTAGTCATTGATAACAAAAACAATAGAACATAATAATTTTTCTGTTCCATAAACTATTACAAATATCTATTTTTCTTATAACCGAGACATGATTGATCGTGTATTGTAAATATCTGAGCCTGGGAAGTGTCGAAAGCTCTAGACACGCTATTTTCCTCCTATTAATTCAACAAGGAAATTAATAAACATTTTCCGTAGGTAGGTACTTGAAGGTAGCAACGAGGATACGTTAAACAACAACGATAATTACTTTGCTAAAAGGATCTTATTCGACAGTGGCGCCCTCTGGCTTCCGCAAAAATGCTGCCTAACAGCCATTGTTCTTGAATTTAATCAATCTAATAAGTTTACACGATACATTCTGATGAGGTTCAAAAAGACTATACAGACAACCAATGATTTAGTTAGTATTTAAGTGTAACCAATATAATAAGACAAGTGAACTTTTAGGCTTTTTTAAAACCGCGATTTAATAGTCCAGATTTTTTGAAAATGGTCAACAATTCAATCATATTTAATTTGAAAATACATAATATATAACAAATACTTACCTATAAGTAGGCAAACCAAAACCTCGTCTTGATTAAAAATTAATTATATATACCAATTATATCAATAAACATATCGATATCAAATCTTCTAGAAGGTAAACTTGTACTTATAATTTAACCTACATAAAGCGTTAATTTACCCGCAGTTCAATAAACGTTCACAAAGGTGGTACGCATAAACTTGTTTTTAAACAGTTCGTCTTATTGCATCATTGTTGACATTTAAACAGCTGTTATGTAATTTTGTAACGACGCATAATAAAAACGTATTTTCTATTTCTCAAAAATACTTATTTTGTTTGGGTCTAAGTATCTTGAAAATCTGTGAAAAAAGTTCCTTTTAATGTGACCCACCTCTGTGGAAACTAGAGGTAGATTCAAACAATTCCATACATTTTTGAACCTTACACCTAACCTTACCTTTCACATCTTAGTGTAATTGACGCTTAGATTAATTTTAAAACATAACTTAACATAACGCCATTTTATTCCCGAAGGGGTAGGCAGAGGTGCACGTTTCGGCGCTTAATGCCACTGTATAATGTAATACCCACTTTTCACTATTTAAGTATGTTATGAGTCCCATGTAATAGGGAGTGAGCCTATTGCCAATTTTAAAAACATAAATTAATGTGCGGGCGCGCAATCAAATTGTCAAATTGCATCGAATCGAAATACCACCCAAACATATCGATTACAGAGCATTAAAAAAAGATAACTTTTAAACACAGACTCCTTGGATTTGCACATTATATATAAACCTAGCTAACCTTACCAGTATCACCTACTTCCATTACTTCAGTAAAAAATACTTACGAAGGTCAAATTGGTGACTGAAGTCACGGTGCTTGTGACGAATTCGTTGCAATTCGTTCCGAATTCCATAAGCGATAACATGAGGAATACCTAGGCAAACTTATGAACACCTAAATGCTGAACTATTAGGAATATTTCACAACACCTGTGAATATTAAAACAAAATATTATTGCACCTGATTAAATGTTAAGTGAGTCATACAGATAATTGTATAGAATATTGTAGTGACTGATGACTTACTTTGGGAAAACGATGGAAATATACATGCGTTTATTGTTTAAATAATTTATTGTGGTCATGTGACAATTTCGTGTTTTGTTTTGCGTAAATAAAAGTCGACTACCTACCAGCTGTCATGCGTTAATTTGACAACTGGGCCGCCATTTTGAATTACGTATGTCGCAAAAGGAAATATTTTTTTAATTTGTATGTTAACACTACTAGGTATCCAAATACCTACCAACAGATATTTGAGTAAGTTTTTAGTAATTTGCCCTTATTTCTGACAAACTTGTCAATAAAAAAAAACAAAACTCACGTTTATCAAAACAATAAATGACTTTTTGTACCTACTACCATTAATTAGATACCTACGTTTGTAGGGAATTCATGACTGGTCAAAATGCCTACGACAAATTGTAGGACGGATATTGGATCCGTAATAAATTGACAACAATGAATTTACCAATGAATAGACAAGTTAGCAGCAGTTTCTAAAATTGGCAACATTACCAACCTACAAGCCAGTACAGGCTACAACCTAAGTATAGTATCTACTTGAACAAATGCCTATTTTGTCGTTCATCAACAACCACAGCCCGTGACATTCTTTTGATAGACTACATAAAGGTTTCTTCTAAATACTTAATTTAAGAGGGTTTGTTATAATCCCGGGCTCAGTCAATTATGATTAATAGTCAACTACACCAACGGTTTGGTGAGAAACCACCAAACATCTAACTTTTACATTAAGATTTTATAATTTAGTTTAGCTTAGCTCCTATTTGTCGTAGCGTGATGTTTTATAGCCTATAGCCATCCTCGATAAATTCGCTATCCAACACAAAAATAATTATTCAAATCAGACTTGTAGTTACGGAGATTAGCGCGTCCAAACAAACAAACAAATTCTTCTGCTTTATACAATAGTATAAGATATACTTAAGATATAAGATATTAGTATAAGATAATCATGTTTCCAAAACCTACTGAAATTCTCTAAAAAAGAGGGGAATATTGACTGAGAAAACACAACTCAACTTCGTGCATCTCTCAGCAAAATATAACCACGACAAGACACAAATAGATGCAAACAAGCCGGAAATTTCTCAGCAGTTGGCTACAAGCGACGGAATGCAATTTAGATTATGACACTTAATTAATATTATTATGTTTACAACGTGTTGCTATTTGAGGATAAGGTTATAGAACTATGTGCGAAATTATCTATTACGTACGTGTCAATGACCTTAGAATGCTCGAACTAGCTTAGCCTAGCTTTTAGAGACTCTAAGTAGACAAAACAGAATCTAGAATATTGGTCACCTTTTAAGCGAGAATTTTACAAAATCATTGATCCCAATTTGGACTCTGTTGTTGCTATGAGATACATTCTAATAATTTTGCCTACTAAAAAAAGTCTTCCTAAACTTATCGACCCGATTCTCGATGTGTTTATGTAAAAAAATGTGTATATATTAATTACTAGCTTCTGCCCGCGACTTCGTCTTCTGGCAGAAGTTTTGTTTTACCCATATTCCCGATTTAGTTCCCGATCGCGTGGGATTTTCGGGAAGTTCTCGCTCCCGTGGCATTTCTGGGATAAAAACTATCCTATGCCCTTTCTCGAGTTTCAAACTATCATCATCAACAGCCTATAAATGCCCACTGCTGAGCAAAGCCTCTTCTCACACGGAGAAGGTTAGAGCATTAATCACCACGCTTGCTCAATGCGGGTTGGCGATTTCAAACTTATAATTAGAAATTATAAGTCCAGGTTTCCTCACGATGTTTTTCCTTCACCGTTTGTCAGTGGTGTCTAAATAATCTTAGAAAGTACATATAACTCGGAAAAAGTCACATTGGTACTTGCCGTTGGTAGGTTTCGAACCCGCACCCTCATGCATTTCAAACTATGTCTGTAGCAAATTTCATCCAAATCGGTTCAGTAGTTTAATGAAGGAGAGAAGGCAGATAGACAGACAGAGTTTTTAGCAGACATTTATAGCATTTGACTGAAATAAAATAAACACAGAATTTTGAGGACAGCTTACATTAAACAATACAACGATAGAAAATGTTTTAAAACATTCATTTTATTTTCAGGGCGAAAATTTCAGAACCAATAGCGGTTCCCTTGAGCAATGGAGACACCTTCTACTCTCCGCCTCCGCCCAGCAGTGGGGCTATCCTTGTAAACATACTGAACATCCTCAGCGGGTACAACTTCACAGCTGCCAGCATCAATACCACGGAAGACAAGATCCTCACCTACCATAGGATCATAGAAGCATTCAAGTACGCGTACGCGACCAGAACGAAGCTAGGAGATAGCGACTTTTTGGATTTAAGTGAGGTAAGCGACCAGAATTATGGATTTAGAACTAAACACGTGGGAAAGACATGTGACGTCACGAGTGTACCGGTTCAAAGCCAGTGATATACCATGGCCTCGTAGGAAACCGCCGTGAAACAGACTTGCATTGTATTTCGCAGTATGATGAGAATACCTAAGGCCTAATCCTATTTGTGTATACGGAGGGTACACCCCTGCTCCTCATCCGCGAAGGATAAGCGGAGATGAAAAGAATAATACTTAATGTAACCCTATGTTTCATTTTTTAGGTCGTAATACGTGTCCGTTAATTAATTTTACGATTACTTAATTACCATAAACATGGCACAATCCGAGGTCAAAGTTTAACTCGTCGAGTACCGGTTTTATAGACACAATTAAAGAACAATAGGTCGCGGTCACCGGTGACCGCTTGGTGTTTGACAGTTTAAACGAATGTCTTAAGCTTTCTATTTTAGGAAAATGATGGTTAATTACCTACGTGCGTAAAATGTACCTATAGCTTTTAATTTGCAATTTAAATAATTAAAGTTTTTATCGATCTTTATAAATTGCGTCATATAAATCGCTGAATAGGAAACGAACATAGCATACATCTAATAATTTTAATATTAAGTATAACTGCTAGAATAGATGCGGAAATCATACGTAATTTGTAATCAGTTTGACAATAATAACAGAACGGTCACTGAATAATAATACTTTATTTATTTATACAAATATTAGAGAATCATTTTGCGATTAAAATTATTAACTTTGACCTTTTTGCCTTTATATTGTTTATCATACACAAACGACGTAGATTCAGCTGTTCTTTTGTTACGTTACATTGTTAAAAGAAAATATACTTGATGGATGGGTAAACACAAAATGCATTGTCATTTTCTGTCTCCCAAAATTGTTTTTGAAAAATATTCTTAACTAACTTTTTGGACCTAGATATTACTCAAAATGCGTATTTTTTTTTATGGCATAAACCGATAAACGTGCAGACGGATCATCACCTGATAGTAAGCAATCGGAAGCCCATGGACACCTGGAACACCAGAGGCGTTACAAGTGCGTTATCAGCCTTTTGGGGATTAGGAGTTTGAGGATGGTTGGGGATTCAGGAATTGGGGAAGGGGAGAATTGGGCCTTCGATAACCTCACTCACACGACGAAACACAACGCAAGCGTTGCTTCACGTCGGTTTTCTGTGAGGCCGCGGTATCACTCCGGTCGAGCCGGCCCATTCGTGCCGAAGCATGGCTCTCCCACACTTAAAGTGATTTGCGTATGATTCCAAAGTTTTATTAAAATTGATTTAGTAGTTTCGATTACTCTTGTGCCTTGAAAACGCATAAACGTTTTTTTATTCTATTTCCAGCTTATTCGCAACGTGACAACTCCAGAGTACGGCACAGAGATCCGACTTCGTATCAACGACACGTCCACCAGTAACGACACTGCCACCTACGGAGCGGAGACCTACAACCAACCTGATGCTGGAACCGCTCACATATCCATAATAGCAGGCAATGGTGATGCTGTTTCAGTCACCAGTTCTATAAACTTTTAGTAAGTAGATATACGGGTATGTCGGCCTAATTTCCCAATACCATTCAACTGATACCGTAACGAGTATAAATCTTAGAAAGTTTCAAACGGAAAGGTCAAGATCAGCCTCTCATCGCTTCCTCAACTCAAATCTATCTCTGTCATATATATTACTTGACCCTTACAGCGCATCCGACATACAAGGGATAAATAGGGGTGTCGACAAATGTTTTTATCATCACCCCACGGTTTTCTCGGCAATTGGGTAGTTTCCAGGGTATCAAAATTAAAAATCTAATTAGTCCGTCAGTTAGATAATGAAAAAATATTAAATACGTATTTTTTTATTTTCTCGTATTAAGTTGCAATACTTAGATAAAATGGCGGTAAGTTTAGGAGTGGGAGGTCGTTACGTCATAACGTGCTACAAAATGTGACACGATGTGACGTCACACGGTATTTGAAATTAATATATCGTCGAAAGTATTTAATTTTGTAAGAAAAAAAAACGTGTCTAAAATATTAAATTAATCTACCAGACGGACATTAAAATAAAATTTAGGAAACTTTTCTAATTCATATTCTTTATCCTTACAGCTATGGTGCTGGTTTCTCAACCCTCAAAACTGGTATAGTAATGAACAACGTGATGGACGACTTCTCATCTCCTGGCATCACCAACTACTTCGGATTGAAGCCATCCCCAGCGAACTTTATCGCTCCTCACAAGCGGCCTATGTCTTCAATGAGTCCCAGTATCATTGTGGATAGGAATGGCAATGCTAAACTGGTGATCGGTGCTTCTGGAGGCACAAAAATTACTACTGCTGTGGCTTTGGTAAGTTTTGAGAATAGAATAATAATTGAATTATCATAAACTGCAGCACTACAAGATACTTGACCTTGACCATTACTGAACGAAAAGCTGGCTCCAATACATTTTGCCAAGCCGAACGACAACCTGCTAGCATTTTATGAGTGCAAGCTGTCCATAGGTTTCTCCGTGACTCTGAACTCATCAAAACTTCATCGGTCTATGAAAGCCAAGAAAGTGGGCTGCCGGCCTCGAATTAAAGTCACTTGAAGAAATAAAGCACTAGACTCTTCTGATAGTACAGCGCGTTTAAGACTTGCTTCCTCTACATTGGATCATTTCTGAAATGGTTTAGTTTATTTGTAGTAGTAGTAATATCCGTACGTTTGTTTACCAGGTGACAATACGCAAACTCTGGTTCGATCAATCAATAAAGGAAGCTGTGGACGAGGCTAGGATACATCATCAGATTACCCCTATGCACGTGGAATACGAATTTGGAGTTACTGAGGTAAGATTCCTTTTAATTCTGCATTCGACAACATTCAAGGATTACCTGGATCATGAAGGGGGTTTATTTCTTCTGAATAAGGTACCTTTCTATCTGACCTTTATGTTATATGTTTTCACAGGACATAGTGCAGGGTCTTCGGGCAAAAGGCCACGGCATGGTCCGATACCGCAGTCGGGGCTCAATAATCTGTGCGCTCTATAGAAATAGAACTGCTATCTACGCCAATGCGGACTTCAGAAAAGGTGGCGACGTTGCTGGCATGGACTGAACTCCTGTGCCTAACTACACTCTAAGTATTACTATCTTTATGTCATGAATGGAACTTTTAAATGAATCTGTTAGTAATGTAAGTTTGTAAGGATACGATCGCGTTTCTGTTGAGATGAGAGTATTTTTCGTTTAAACTGGGATAATGATACTGGACTAAGACAGACCATTCTCCATTTTCCATGAATCCACAGAAAATTCAAAATCTCTAAGTATTGAAATCGATACATAGGTACCTAGAATAAAGTCCATACATGGCAATGACATGTTATTAAAAACCTCCAAAAAAATAATAATTTCGTTAACTTTGCTACAAAATACCTAAAACACGAAACATGCTCTCATTTCAACTTTTATAAAATGTGTGTGACAAGTGAAAAGAAAAAGAAATTATTATTGGTTCATTCAAAAAACATTTGGAGCTTGACCCGCCAATCACAGTCCATGAATTAAATTCTTTAGCTTGTCTATAATTTATATTTTAAATTACTCGAGTAGGCTCGAAGTAGAAACGTAATTGGCGATACAATAATAGTAGGCATTAGGAAAAATATTACAAGAAAAAAATGTGATAAATAAACGATAGTCTAGGTAGGATATGAAATATGGCCGTCTTCCTAAAAAAATATGCTATTGTCTACGATTTCTAAAATGGCGGCAAATTGAATTCATTAATTCATCACAAAGCATTTTTACAAATCAAATTAAAACTTATTGGCTGATTGAGAACAATAATTTTGAAGTAAATGGGCTAGATACTTAATGAATATACCTATAATAACATTAAATTATAGATACCGAGATGCAGTGTTTCAAAAGTATGTATTTTTTTAAGTTCCTACACATTGTTATTGTATTAGTTGCAAGATAAGCCAAGGAGCAGTATCTATTTATTTCGTAATTTATTTTGTTACCTAACAATAATACTGGAACAGTATAATAACGAACCTGAACCTAGAAACAGGTATAATATAAATAAACTAACTTAATATCAATATTTAATTGCAGCTACACCTTTCTCCACATATGAAGATCATTTTGTACATTGCATCTTTTCAAAATAATGAGTGTAATGTGACAGAGCCCAAATTGATTATTCTCTCTTATGTGCACAAAACTTAGACTAATTTCTGTTATTTCTAATAATATTTATGTTTTTTTATTCCTTACCCATGCATTTATTAAGTACTGCCAATTAATAATTTTGTATTACTATAATACATTTCAAATCAAATAACATTCCTTTAAAAACATAGCTGTTATGTTGTCAAATACCTAGGTACTTATTTGTTCTTATTTCGGCGTCCAATTTATTTAATTGTATTGGAATAGTATTGTCTGAAATGAGAATGAGACTACTTAGTTAAATAAATGGTCACAAAATAGTATTTGCAAAATAAACTTTTACCTAAGTGTTTATTATGTTGTTTTATTTTCCTTATTATTCCTTTTTTATCTATTTCAAAGTGAAAGTCAAAGCATTTACGTAATTATTTCAATTAATCCTTAACTGAGACACTTTTGAAACGTCACATTGAATTGTCAGTGAAGCTAGGTGCTGTTCCAAAGTGGATTAAGTACAATGTAATATTACAAAGTGTGTGTTCAATAGTGATATTTGACTAGTTTTGTCCCAGATCTGAGAGAGTCAAAATCTTCCAACAAGTATCTCAAAATCTAGAGAACCAAGCCAAAAAATAACCTTGTACCCCTACGAGCATTAACCCCCCCATAAACACAAAGTTGATTGAGGGACAGAGTGAGAATGGCCTTGAGCTGACTTAGTGGCTGAGCTGAACTGAGCTGAGCTATATTTTTAATCATAAATGTACTCTAAGTTGTATATTAGGTACTATTATAACGCTTTGTTTGAACACGCCAATCTCAAGAACTACTGATCCGATTTGGAAAATTATTTTTGTGACGGATATTCCATTTATCGAGTAAGGCTATAGGGCATAACATCGAGCTACGATCAATAGGAGCTTAGCAGAGTGGGTGCTAACGCGCGGAAGTAACTAATTCAAAATAAATAAGAAGGAGGATAAAGTAAAATAAAACAAGAAATTCAATAATAATTGTATTATTTATTGCATTGTAATTGCATTGCTTTAAGCTTACAGTTACATTATACTATCATTTTATACAGCAGACAACAGAATAACAAATAAATATAATAACAAAAAAAAACTTTAGCACCTAATCACCTTAGTCTATGCCAATCCATGCTTTGCAACTTAAAAACTCGTAAATAGCAATTTTATTTCTATTTTTTTAATTACTTATGTGTGTGTTTCGACAGATATGATATATTTATTTCTAAATACTTTTCATAAAAAATAAACTAAACGAAATTCTTGAAATTTTGTTTGGCGTATTACAATTTTAAACAGACACCAATCTACGATATAAAATGCCATATTTTAAACTACGAATACATTATTCAACCGATGTAGTAACATTGCAACGAGACAGAAGTTTATATACATTGTACTAATTACAATTTACTCGTTACAGATCCAAATAATTATATACACCGATTTTACATTGAATATTAACTACAACATTTCTTAATTACATGGAATCATTTGTAAGGAATATGTAGAGAAAAAAAATTACATCTATTTAGGTATATTAATTATGATATTAATTTTTACATTTCCCATAGAATTTTATTGTAACACATTTATTTATATGCAGTGGTAATTATATTTTGGTAGTTTTACATACATACAAAAACCATGAAATAATATAATAATGACCATAGGCTCACTTCCTATTACATGGGACTCATAACATAAATAGTAAACAGTGGCGTAATGTGCCTCTTCCTACCCCTTCGGGGATAAAGGTGTGATGTGTTATGATGAAATAATATACTTTTTGGCATTCTCGCAAAGCAATTTCGCAGTGATTAATATTCATACTTGATTTATACAATTCGACATTTTATTGAATACATACACAAGCACATGTATCAAAGTGGTTGTTAACTAAAGTGGAAATAACATGGTTTATTCAGCTTTTGAATTAAATCGTAACAGTATTTGCCACCAAAACGTTACACATACTTTTATACAATTGATATAACATTCAAAGCAAAGATATTTTTTTATTAAAATAGAACGCGTTCATATTAAGTAACTCACTTTGCATTTCACATTTACAGTTCGTAAAAAACCTGAACGAGACTAACACACTTCAAATAAATGAATGTGATGGACTTCGCTCAGGTTTAGGCTTCTGCTATAACGGTAGTATATCCCTCATTGCTTCGACCGGAGTGACCAGCTTCGTAGCCCCAATCAGAACAGTATTATCAACACCACTAGTAATCACACTTCGATGCAAACGCTTACATTCCTCGGCCGTAATCCCGCCGATCACAAAAATGATTATAGTAGGATTATCCAGAGGATGTCTTGTCTTTACTTTTCTATTTGTTAACATTCTGAAAAAAAATAATGAAATATTATTTCTACAACTCCCCGCTAGATGGCGCCGTTAAAAACGAATATGCTACTAGCCGCTAGATGGCGGTAAACTTAAAAACTATATATGTGTAAAATGTCTTACCCAAGCCCACTGCGAAGCAATGTCTTTAATTTATCACTCCTATACTGGTCTAGATCAACCAGGTCAGGTTTGTCTGTGTTCACCATGTCTTCCACTAACTGCTGCACAGCGCTACGGTACTCGTGTCCCACACCCGTCTCACATGGTTTCAATATGGAGTTATATCTATAGATAGAAAACAAAGTCAGAATTTAAGGAACATAAGCATAAGCATGATACCTTTTGTATTATAAACATCGCATGACACATTTGATTCAAGTGTTCAAGAAACATGACATCCTTGGTAGTAAAAATACTCACTTGTGAAAAACACTTCTCATTGAAGTAATTTTCCTTAACTGCATCAGTATGCAACTGGCCCTAGCTTCACAGTCCTCAGGAGACATGATGACAGAAGTGTCTTTGTACAAACTATTCTTGTCTTCAAACAAGGCGACACTCAGCGTCTTAATGAGCTGCTGTTCATGATCTGCGGGGAATTGGACCTCTATGTCCCTCACTGCATATATGTGCATCAGTAGAGCTAACAGGTTCTCTAAAGGAAGGTCCTTTTCTTTACGATTTTTTATTAGATGACAAATCTGTAGAATGTAAATACATGCTGTGATTAAAGTGTTGTTAAGCCTGATGTGAAAATTTCATTTTAAAGATAGTATGAACATTAATACATATAAACAAATATACAAGTTTAGATTCAATAATCTCGAGTAATTTTAGGAATCGTTATCTTACGAAAATACTCTAACTTGTGGCAACTGCACTTAATTTTATGATTTTTTCACACTTACGCAAAGGACCCAACTGTAAGAAGTTCAGAATTTATTTTACTATATACTACTATACCATGGTATAGTTTAGTAATATTGTACCTGAGTAAGGACGCTGGTAGACTCCCGACTAGTGGCAAGGTTCTGGTGCACCTGCTTCTCCAAACTCATCAGCAGCTCATGCTGCACTCGTTTAGGTGACTTCAGTGTCTGTACTACCGCCAAGGACTGCTGCAAGACGCCTAGATGCTTGCTAATCACCTCGTAATTTCCTGTAACATTATATCGAGTTGTTAAACATCACTTTGTCATACGTTTATTGTTCGTATACGTATTGTTGTTACAAGGGGAAGATTGTTTTGGCAGCACTTATTTTCGTAGTTGGCAAATATTCACTGCATTTCAAATACCTTTAAGTATACCATTAAGCATGACATAAAAATGCGATCTTGAAGTCAACAATTAACTCGCGGTACATTTATCGTGAGTAAATTTATATTACAGTCAGAGTAGAAGTATAATAATAATTGTAGATACAATTTAAAGTTCTTAATCTCATTAACACCCCCTTTTTGCATATGCCTTTTGTCTAAATAAGTTCTTAGGGCTATTCAACCTTAACTAACACATATCGTATAGAAAATAGTTACGCTAAATAATTATTTCACGTTTCTTTATGTGGTCGGTTAATTTATACACTAAGCATGTAAAGTGTAATAAACACTTATTTGAAAACCACATCAAAATCTTTTCAGTCAATCGCGAAATAATAGCGTACAAACATTGGTTAATTTACCATCTATCTTAATTTCATTATATCTAGTTTTTTCAAAAATAGGTCTATGTTACCTTTAGTCGCAGTCACAATCTTCTCAATACTTTGAGGAGTGACTTTCAACAGGGACTTGGGGCTTGGTGACTTTTGAATGTCGATCTTAGTCAATTTGTTGTAGAGATCGAACATGACTTCTTTCTGAGACTTATTGATCATGTATTCAAATGTTTGTATGCATGATTCGTCATCTGAATGGTAGATACAACCCGGGCTGAGTTGAATGTCATGTGGGTGGTCAAACCTGGAACGTAATGTCATTTAGATATATTTATGAAACAGAGGTTTTGTTCAAAGTCGGGTTAGTATGATCAGATGTATAAAATTATAGATGTGAATGAATTATAAAAGAATTATAAAAGAATTATGAAAAATCTGAGCTGAGATATTTAGCATTTATTTTGATCTATAAAATGATCATGAAAAGTTGGAAACCTTCATGTTGACAATTACTTTATCAGAATAATATCGTACTTGAAATATAAGACTACTAAATACGAGACTACACTACAAATTAACTCATTATTAACTTACACATTCGCCTCACAAAGAGGTGACATATCCACAGCGACGTCAGTGCAATGTCCTGGAAACCTGGGCAGCGCTGCCATGATCTTGTCCAGAACTGACTCAGTACCATGGCTCGTTACACTACACAAATCCATTGTGCGATCTACAAGTATCAACGACGCAGGGTGTAGGCAGTTCTAAAAAATTAAAGAGGTATTACAAATCCATCTAATTTTCTTATTTGTGCTTCATAATTCTATGTGCTTGTGTTGATTTATGAAGATAAGACAGTTACCATAAATCATTTATAAACAGCAACACATTAAATACAGCTTTATTATTTTGTAATAAATTAGAAATTTCAGTAAACTTGACAGTTTGCAATAGCTTGATGTACATACATGTCTGTACAAATCAAGGATAATTAAATCTTCTGAATATATACATACACATATATTTATACACAGATATACTTAATATGCAGAACGCCTAGCTGTTCATCCTAATGACCTGGCAACTCAACTCTTATATCCTTCAGCCATAGAGAAAAGACTAAAGAGGAAGGATGTATTCTGAAAAGGCAGATGAGGCGATAGCTTCGTCGTCTTCCACTCAAGATTCCACTCAACTCATCTGCTTATAGTCTTGCGACTGATTGACGATCTTAAGCAAAAAAAAAAACAAAAGATATACTTAACAAACCTTCCGCCGTTGTATAGACAGAGGGTAATGCTCCAGAATTCCTCCAATGATAGCAGAATATGCACCAATGTAATAAACATCCTCTTTTAAATTCATTGAATCCAACATGTTATTCAGGCTAGCTGCAAACCTCCTTGCTTCATTCCTTTCTTGTTTGGACAAATTGTTGATATCAACCGTTGCATTATCAGATTTTAACTCGCCAAGGAAAAATGTTTGTAAGTCACGGAAGGGGGGTGTGACAAACACAACATTAGTTAGGGAGATGGTGAAAATTGGTATGTGTATCACTTCTACATAACTTTGCTGTAAGAGAAAATGTCTTATTAGAATGGTAATTTAACATTAACATAGAATAATGTCACACCTTTTATTTAATATTCAAAGAATATGGGATTTAATATACAAAGCTAGGACAAATTATAAATTATAAATAATATTATAAATTGGAAAGTGAGTTTGTTTGTTAGTTTTTCTATTTGTTTGTTTGTTCCGGTTTCACGCCATAACTATTAGATTGATTGCTTTGAAAAAGTCCGGATTAAATAAAAGGGTACTTTTAATCCGGAAAAAAAATATTATTCCTGAGGGGAAACCAAAATATTGGTATAGATGGGGTTGTGTGTATTGGTATAGATGGCCCTGTATGTCATTTGTAACATAAATGTTTTTGAGTTCACCCATGTACCAGGCGAAGAACTTTATTTTACTACCTATAATCTCTAAAAGTAATTTAAGCCAGTAATAATATTTTCTCTGCTTGTTGGCCGAGTGGTCGCAAGTGCGACTGCCGGGCAAGGGGTCTCGGGTTCGAATGCCGGGTCGGGCAAGTATTACTGGGTTTTTAAAAATTCTCAGAAGTAGCACGGAGTCTGGAATTGTGCCTGGTATATGGCAATAGGCTCACCCCCAATTACATGGGACTCATAACATAAATAGTGAAAAGTGGGTGTTACATTGTACAGTGGCATAATGTGCACTTCTGCCTACCCCTTCGGGGATAAAAGGTGTGATGTTATGGGATTTAATATACAAAGCTAGGAATAATTTTCAGAATTAATATATTTACTTCTGCAATATGTAAGCATAATAGTATTTGTCATTTGTAGATGTTACTTAATTCTTGCTAACTTGAGATAGCAGCACAACTTAATATTAATGGTAATCCTAACTCACTTCTTTGTATCACTCAAGTTTTGTTCTGTACCATATACCTTATTAAGTATGTCATGTTAGCAAATTGTAAATCTGTAATTAGGTGTAAGAATAGTTTGTTTATGAGCCATGTTTTATTTTAGTTACCTTCTTTGCCATCCACTGAATAAGTTTCATTTCAAGATACTTCATGCCTTCTAAGATTGGCTCTCCCATAGCCAATACGGTATTGATATCCTTGTCATCATGGATTTCCAGAAACACCATATCCAAACTCATGCATGATATCAGAATGCAGTGTGTAAAGTCACTGTGGCGGACAATCTCAGCAATTGTTTGCAACTGTACTTTGGTAGTTTGTGTTAAAAACAATGCCTTCTTCTGGTCTTTATTGGCGCACTGTAACAAGAGATGTGGAATTGTACAAACAATGGAGGTGTAATGTTGATGGTGTATATAGCTTGTACCTACCTATAGTTGTGTGTTATGTGCCTTAATATGTTTTTTTATATTTAATAGGATGGCGTTTGGCCACCATGTCATATGTGTGAATTTAATCAAACTTTGTGTGTAATGTAAGGCATGTTTTCGTAAATCTAAAGGACTAAATAAATCAAACTGTAAACTAAAGCGGTGTACCTCGAATGGAGATAATCCCTTTACAGCAACTGCTCCCGCAGACAGTAAGGTGTCTACGCCACCCTCGTAATGCAAGCACTCTGCAGTGGCATCATCAATAAACACCACAGCACCAATTATTCTGTTATGTATCTCCGACCACCAGGCCTTACCAAATTCCCTCACCGAAGCAGTCGCCATATTAGATGCTAGGCAAAATATAACCAGTGGTATCTATACCATTTTTATTATTATTTTAGATATTGCCAATTAGTTAGAAGTAAAGTGAAATTGCGAATTTGCAATTTATTTACGTACACATCACCCAACGTTACTACGAAATGTCACTGTCAACTCTCACTCAACTGTCAATGTCAATATTTTATTGATTCATTTTTTGACACTAATTAGGACCGTCTTAAACTGTTTCATCCTTGTGCAGGCTCAGACTCGGCCATTGTAGTATAATAGTCCGGCCTTCCTCAACAAGATCCGTGAACGCGACAGCTCGCTGTGCAAATGCGGCCTTGATGAAGGAACTTTAAAACACATCTTTTTTTCGTGTCCCTTAAGGCGGCCAACCGTCCCGTATTCTGCGGGACCGTCCCGTAATGCTAGATCCCGCTTTGAAATAATTTATAAAATAGTCCCGTAAAACGTTAGATGCGTCCCGCAAGTCCCGCATACCCATTTCTTTTTTTTTCATTTCATACTACACGACACAAACATCCGCGCACTAACAACAGCGCGAATAAATGAAGATCGGAAAATCGTCACTAAAAGTGAAAACTCTACGTGCTCTGCTTGTACTTAAATTTAATATGGGAAGTTGCGAAGATTTTCATGACATAGGTACCTACCCACTCAATAAGAATCCTGAAGTTGTTAAAAAGTGTCACTCTAGAGATAAATACGATTTTATTAATAGTTAAATAACTTTTGTAGGTATATAAGTTTTATGTTTTTATGTAATTGTACCTAGGTGTTATTTTAAGGGGGGGAAATCATCGAGTGAATTCTCCCGCCTGGGTGAGACAGAAGGGAGTGTCAGAATCTTACTGACTAAAAACGACCCCGTTCCTACTCCTGCACTTCGAGCCGGAGTCCCGGTTACCCGTTAGGTTCTCCACGACTTTGGGACCGCATCTGCGAGATGAAGATATGTCCGATCTCATCAATTATGGTAAGCGCCTAACGTATTTTTTTATTATTCTATGGTTATACCATTTTATACATTTTGACTGCACGGTTGGTGCGGTGGCTGGGCAACCGGCTGCCGTGCAACGTGTCGCGGGTTCGATTCCCGCACGGGACAACACTTTGTGTGATCCACTAATTGTTGTTTCGGGTCTGGGTGTCATTGTATGTGAACTTGTATGTTTGTAAACGCACCCACGACACAGGAGAAAATCCTAGTGTGGGGCAACGTTTTCTCAAAAAAAAAAACCATAAATGATTAGTTATCATCAGAATTGAAATCAATGTATCATTTGTTACAGGTAGTGACAACTCTGACGAGAGCAATGATGAACAGGGGGAAATGTTTGCTCCAGTTATTCCAAGGGTGTATCAGAGCTTGATGGAAACACCCTTGGATCATGATGATGACGAAGCGGATACTGTGGTAGACCCAGTACCTACCAGCCACTGACACCATTCCTGCCGGCGGAATTGAGCCCGCTGATGTCCCCCTTACGACAACGGAGCAACCATGGGGTCTCCATAACTTCGACTGGAGAGATTTTCCAAGCCCACCGCTCTCACCTGAATTGAGGCGGGAAACATTTTCCGTCGTTAATGTCGGTCCGACAACTTCACGTGCCAACCCATATGACATTTTCATTGAAATATGGGATCGACAAATTATGGAATACATTGCTTTGGAGACTAATAGATACGCTCAACAGGTGGCATCCCAGATGTTAAACAACAATAAGGTACCCCAGAAGCCGTATCAGCCGATGGCATGACACCACGGCCGATGAACTATATGTTTATTTCGGCCTAATTTTAGCAATGGGGATTGTGGTTAAATCAAGGTTGGACGAATACTGGAGTTCAACCCCTGACGTATTCTTCACTCCGGGTTTTAGTGCGCACATATCCATCCTGGACTACTCCGAGGCCAGGCTATTTAAAATTAAACCAATACTGACACACCTAAACTTCAAATTTCAGAACATGTACACTCCAGCGCAGAACCTTTCCCTAGATGAAAATCTTTTAATGTGGTAAGGCTGGTTGGAGTTCAGCCAACTTATTCCCAATAAGACAGCAAATAGAGGAATTAAAACTTATGAGATTTGTGAATGGCAAACCGGCTACATATGGCGGTTTGAGATTCACGGTCATAAAAAATCTCAGCAGCCTCAGCAATTTGAAAGTCCACTGGACGTGGCTATTGTGTTAAAATTAGTTGAGGGATTGGAAAATAAGGGGTACACGCTCTGGATGGACAATTATTACCAGTCCCCATGTCTGGCCCGACGACTCAAATCTTTGGGGTTTGACTGTGTCGGAAGTTTGCGGACCGATCGCAAATTTGTCCCACCCGGCTTAAATAATCTAACTAATGATAAAATAAAAACTGCGTTTAAAAAACAGACTTCAAAAAACCAAAAACTAATAACAAACAAAAAGTCAAAACTAAAAAGCAAAAAATAACTATTATTAGTACTGATAGGTTACCCCCCACTGATAGGTAAGAAGTCCGTGCCATAAGTTCAATACAAAATTATTCATTAAAACCTTAATAGGTACCTAATTCACAATATTGTGGACATTAAGTTATATCATTATGATTGATTTCTAGAATTGATTTGTAATCAACATGTTTTTTTATTGTACTTATAGTTTTGTCAAATCTATTATATATTAAACTGTCAAACACCAAGCGGTCACCGGTGACCGCAACCTATTGTTCTTTAATTGTGTCTATAAATACGGTACTTGACGAATTAGTAAATCAGAAGTTACTCTGTGATCCAGTTTGAGAGGACCTGGCATGGAAAAATAAAAATGTCCAACACATTTTCATGTTACTTTAATTACTTATCACAATACAGAATAATTTGTAAGCTAACAGTTTTGCAGGATTGCACTAACATTTTATAGTAAACAAAAATTAGTGCTCATAGCCGCTGGGGAGAGCATTGACATGGGGGTTGTGGAAGAGAGACTTCTGGCCATCACCCCATGGGAAACGCTGAAATAAGAAAAACAACAGATTACAATACATTCTCATTGCAATCTCTCTATTGTTCATAAAAAAGGAATATCCAAAATGTCATTTATTTATGGAACAGTAGAAAGAATAGGTTGTTGGTAACGAAAAGTAATTTTTTTTTCAAATTAAGTGAGTTATCTCAACTGCATGTTTGATGAAATAATAATAAAATTGAGATGTTCAGCTATATTACCTTGGAACGAATGCGCATGAAATCATAGGGTTTGAACTCAGGGTGCTCTGCATGGGCATGCTCCTGGTGGGCCAGGTAGGCGTTTAGCATACCAAGTCCAACTGCAGGGAATGCTACGAAGAAAGTCATCTTCTTCCACAGCTTGTAGCCACCTGATGAAAAGGTAACAGATAGAGGAATTAGTAGAGGATCTTAAAATAATAATATACACAACATTAAATTGTGTTCTCGGGATCTCATGATAGAGCCACAGAAGTTGATTGAAATGACACAACTGTGTTTTTCCATTTTAAATAATTCAATATTATACTATCAGATGCCTCATTTTCTTAAACACACCTTTACACAATCTATTATCTCTTCCTTGGGTACAAAAACAAGGATAAGTCTACAAATGAAACATTAAAAAATAGTCTACTTTAGCTAGAAAACTTAATTTCTAAACCAGTGCAGTAACATAAATCATAAACATGACCCAATAATTTATTATACTTTACTTTGTATACACATTGAGGTATTTGTCACAATGTCCTCTCATCTCTACTTATTTGCAGCATAGTATCATGAGATAAAATAAGATACAAGCAATATACAATAACCTTTCTCTACAGATTGATATAAAATAAGGAAGACATTTACTGCACATGTATTCAAATATTCCTATCAGTAAAACACCTTCATAATCAAGGTTAACAAAGCACCTTAATACTTAAATCACAAAAGGGAAAACCAAAGAAGCACAAACTCATTGTTAAGATGTAATTGTGTGTTTAATTATAAAATTAAAACAAATCTACTTTTATTTCCTGAACAAGTAATGCACATTTGGTAGTATGTTACAGTTGTTTTTAGGAAATAAGAACTTTAGTAGCTACAAGACTAGAGTATTGATTTCTTAGGTTTACTGTAAACAGCAGGAAAATATAAGAATAGATAAAATGACGCTGGGACTGCGCCAGAAAATTATTGTACACGTTACAATAAGTATGGAATTAGCATAGGTGAGTAAAATAGGACATGATAATCTGTTAAAACGCAGGTGAACAAGAGATAAGGCCCTTTAGGTTATCTGATTACATAATTTTCTGTTTTCCAAAATGACTCTCACCTCCATGGCCTCCAGCAGTAGCAGCGTGGGTGGAAGAACGAGCGTTCGTCTTCAGGTACTGGATCGCAGCCTTTCTCAATAGGGCATTCATATTGTTACAAATTCTAGTTCTGATCAATCGAAAAGCAGCAGCAATTTAACAAATGTCAATGTAACTTTTTATCGAAAATGTCAATTTGACACCTGGAGAATGTTGCCATACTAGCAAAAATCAATAAGAGACCATTATGTTATATGGCAATACAATAATTGAATAGAGATGTTCTTATTAGTATTTTTTCAATTTTTAAGTGTGATGTCAAGTAGTCTTATTATTCATCACTAACATTAGCAACTAAAGAGTAAACACTCTTGACGGATTAATTTATCTAATAGTTAATATAGCTATATTTACTATTAGATTCAGTTAGGATATTTACGAATAATAAAACATTGTTCGTCAAGCTTTAGCTATAGGTACCAAGACTTATTATATACTTATACTTATGTTGCATTACTACTATCGGGATATTTTTTTATGGCATAAGTCGGTAAACGAGCAGACGGATCACCTGTTGGCATAGCCGCCGGTGGCCTGTGTTGCTCTATGCCTGTTGGTAAGCAATCGGCGTCGCCCATGGACACCTGGAATACCAGAGGCGTTACAAGTGCGTTACCGGCCTTTAGGGGATTAGGAGTTTGAGGATCGTTGGGGATTGGGGAGATTGGGGAAGGGGAGAGTAATTGGGCTTCCAGTAACCTCACTCACACGACGAAACACAACGCAACAAAACGTCGGTTTTCTGTGAGGCCGTGGTATCACTCCGGTCGAGCCGGCCCATTTGTGAAGAAGCATGGCTCTCCCACACTTAAAAATCAAAATTATATCTTAATATGAAATAAGAGGCTAATATTTAATTTTTAACACCAATTTAATGTCTTTTAATTTTTTACATTAAGCACTACTTAGTTTCGGTACTAAATATTACTAACGGTACTCCGTTAGACATGGATTAGACTGAAATTGTTAGTCTAATCCATTTTTTTTTTAAGTAATAGTTAGTTTTTAATTTAAGTTTTTTATTTGAATAAATGAATTATCCATTCCTAAATTGCTAACCTTAAGCGGTGGTGCAGTTACATACAAACTAGATAATTACGTAGGTTAACCAATTTTTTGTTTTCAGATCTTAATTGAGATTCTGGTTATTGTTCTATTTTTACATTGTTTCCACAGGACACTGATATACACCTTTTATGAGAATGATATTAACTTAGATATGTTACTGTAAAAGCTCGAACTGCAGTAAATCCTAAGATATTCCAGTAAAACCTAAGATCTACCAATTCCTAATGGTAAATGTCCAGAAAGATTTGCGATTCGAACTTTTACCACCATTCCGTTGGTAAATCTTAGGATTTACACAAACAAAACATGTCATAACGTGCTCAACGCATCGACTTGTAGCTTGCCGCCCCCGCTATCCGCGCACCGTCTTTTTATAAGGGGGGGGGGGGATCATCTAATGACTGCACCCGCCTGGGTGAGGCGGGAGGGAGTGTCAGACTCTTACTGACTAAAACAACCCCGTTCCTTCTCCTACACGCTTCTTTCGTTCTTCGCTCATTTGACACGTTTGAACTCGCACGATAAATTGATTTCTAATTATATTTTTGGAGTTTAAAAGTAATTTGTGAATAAAAATGAGTATGAAGCAAAGATTTTATGAAATAATGGACGAGCTTGTGGCAAACAAGAAAGATAATAACTTTTTTCTCGATAAGGACAAATACGCTAAGTGTTTAGTTTGTACTTGTTACTATCATTATGATATATTTATAATACCATATAGGTACCTGTTTTGGCTAATAGTTATAAGTAGTTTTATTCCTAAAACCAACATCTACCAGCTGACAGTGGTAAAACCTAGCATATACTGAGTTCGAATAGTAAAAGCTCGAAAAAATCGTCGTATCTTCAGAAATACATTTACCAACTCATGTCGGTAAATCTTAAGATTTAAGTGTCGGTAAATCCTAAGACTTACACTTAAATCTTAAGATTTACCGTAGTTCGAGCTTTTACAGTAACAGATATATTAGTAAATACAGATTTCGTCATCATATATAGAATTATAAAAAGCTCTTTGTTTTAATATCTAAAAATCTAATACCCGTTACCGTTACCAAATATTATTAGGTACTTATTTATTTCTAAATCTAATGGAATGCAAAGTTTACATAAGGTAAAAATAATGGCTTATAAAAGACAATGTAGCCTAAGTTAGTTATTAACCACTTAAACAATGTTTTTTCCTTGCGGACTAAATCTGGTATAAGTTTAAACCAGCATACTACCTACATAAAAAACGAATTAGTAGAAGAGTACGTGTTAAGGAATTTGAAGATACAAAATATTACTACTACAATCATGGCACCTGTGTATTACCTATTCTTTGGCAACTAATTGACGGCTGAACAGAGTCTTATGCACAAAAAATAAGTTTGTTCTTTATAGATATCTGGGTAGTGTAGGTAGGTAGTAGGTATTCAGCTGCCATATCTTCTCATTCATATCCTAAACCGAAACTGAATTAAGTAATACTAAATTAAAGTCGGTTGATCAAATGCTGGAAACATTTTTTGGTTCACCATTTGAATGTTCATTGGAGCTTCTGTAGCACCATCAGGAAAATGACGCTCTAAAATGGATCTTGGTGAAACCTGCAAAAAATAAATGGAAATTGTATTCAAAGAAAGTTTCCACGTATACTTATTATTATCGAAATACTGAGGGAATCAAATTACCTTTTTCATTTTTACATGTTCAAAGTTATACTTCATGTAAAAGGCAGACTGTTGCAGTTGCCTCAAGTTTCTGATACGGACCCTTGGATCTCGTTCCAATAAACGCATTAGTAGCCCGCGAGCTGCATTTGACAAAGAGCTTGCACTCTCTGGTAGAGCCCCTGCGACTGGCTGAATAGACTGGTGTCTATGATCTGGAGGCCTAGAAAAAAAAAAATTGTTTAAAAAATTGTTACGATTGATTGATTGAATTAATGCATTAGCTGTGTTCGCATTATCTATTTAACAAGATATTCATCTATCTAATCCACATTTAAGAAGAGAGTAGGTATGTATGTTGCCTCTTCGATCTATCTGACTGATCTCTATCAGTCTATCTGTCAGACTTAAATGATCTAAATTAATAGGATAAAATAGGAAAGTATGTAATCTGTAGTGGGTACTAGTACAATTACCTATTTTGATATGATGACGATGCTTCATTTTGGCCCCTGCTGTCTTTTTTCACCAGTTCATCGCTGTCAGTCGTTGCTCTTTTGCCAATCGCAGGCGCTGGATACTGAAATTGAAAACAGAATTAGTAATAAAATATAATCTTTTGTGATTTTATTTTTAACTTGGATTAAAACTATATTTTTTTTAATTTCATTACAGAACACGAAATGCAGTAAGAGTAAAAAAATCCTTATAGAATCATCTGCACACAAATATTTATACGCACAAAAGATAAAAAACAAATGACAGAAATACATCCAATCACAAACAGGTATGTTGGTAATTCAAACTCAATCGCAAACTCACACGGGCATGTTAATTTATAATCAGGAGAGCCCATCTCTGTTGTACACGAATACCTTGGTGATTATGTAGGTTTGAGAGCCCTAAGGTTTAAGGGGAACGACACTGCAACCCGTCCCCGCGCCTCGTTTGAAAACAAAAAGTCAACATCACTCGTCCGGCTAAAAATAGGGAGCCAGCCCCTTAATTGCACACTTGGAATTTACTGCACGATTTAATGATTGTCTTGGGAGTTCAGAGCCTTATAACGAGAGGGCGGAGTTATGGAAGCAAAAATTGGGAAAGTATAATTATGAAGTCTTATTATCGGCGACAAAAACATGAGACTTTTCATAAAAAAATTAAAGTCGTAAAATGAAAAGTTGTACACGTAGACATTATCCTACTTGTGCGAGTCGTAGTCGTAAGTGGTTATGAGGACAACCACATTGTAGGTTTTAATAGTTTAAACACTGTTCCTGTACACCATGACCTAGGTTAACGGAATTATAGAGAGAATTGTTTGACTACTAATTGTTTTGAACTCTGTAATGCTAATACGTCGGAGTCGGCTTTAAGGAGGCTCAATTTGCATAGCATCAGAAAATAATCGGACGACCCACTTCCTTTTGAAAATTATGTTTAGATTAAGTTCGTTTTTGGGACTGTGCTTAGATGCAGTTATTTTCTTTTTCTCGTTTCAATCCAGTTGATAAATGTCAGAAGCTGTCACTCAAAAGACAATTAAGAACAAAGATCCGTTAGATCAACGCGTTGACTACTAATCATTTCTTATCTTTATCAGTTCGCCGCCTCCGAATACAGGGGCACATTAATGTTTACATTCTGTTCTGGTCACGATTCGGCCGCTTTTCTGAATAAGAAATGGATACTTAAATATGTATTAGATTAGTCTAGGCAACACCTCTAGCATTACTTAAACTTAATTTCCCCTGCGGAACTCCTTTGCTACTAACCCAAAGTCTAGTCTAGACGAATCTAGGTAACCTAGCTTTCAAATTTTTTTCACGATCCAACCACGACCCATCTAAATTACTACTGCCTACTTGATAAAAGGCAATTAGGTATTTACTTGTTACATAGACAGACGAACTTATAATCAAGTGGAATAAAAATACAAACGATGAAACATAGAAAGAATTATTAAAAAAGTTTGCAGTTTTTTAATAAATTGCACTAATCAACGCGTCTTGGTTTACAATTAGTATAAAAACCAAACTTCTTTTTAATAGGTCTATTACTAAATTGGCTAAAGGTCATTTGAACATCTGTTCTTGAAAACGTATCGAACTAATAAAGCTCCACGGGAAATTCTAAATTACAAATAAAAAAAGTTACGATTCGATGTTATATTTTTAAAAATAGACTAAAAAATATTTGTTTGCTGCGGTACCTATGTATTGAAGAAGTTTTTGTTAAGAATTCAACAGAATTTAAGTTAAGATACACGTGTCGGTGTCGGTGCCTACACACGTGTAAAGTTTTTGTCTCCAATAGTTCTTCCGATTGACATCATAGATGTGAAAAGAATACGTAATTGGAATGAATCATGAAATTGTGTTTGTGAATGTAATGTATATGCCCAATATAATGGGCAGAGGAACCGGGAAAACTGAAGAGAAGATGGATTGGAGGTTGTGCGTGAAATGAAACTAGAAGAACTACCTTGAGTGCATGACGTGATGACGTCTGATAGGAGAAATTGAAAAAGATATTTTGTTGTACCTAGGTATGGCAAAGTATAAATACTATGGGTATGGTATGCAGTATGGTAGGACTAAACATATAAAATATGCATGTTACAACTGTGATACTGTGAAATGTGAATAACATATCCAGGCGAGAGTTAAGTAGTAGGTATATAGGTACCGACTTAGGTACTTAACTTCTTCTAAGAAGACAAATAATTACCTACATGAAAAAATCTAATAAATATTAATATAAGTACCCTAGACCTACAATCATAATAACTTTGCATAAAAATAATTATTTTATAGAAAAAATAGTACTTACTCAACAGTATTAAGTAATTTATACTAAGAATTACGCATAATAAGGATCCATATTACTTAATACGGACTAATTACAAATGAATCATAAATTAATTCCATTACGCGAATCGTAGTAACTCTTTCTCAATATTAATCTACATAAAAACTAGTTACTCTAGGTACCTATATGACGCGAAAAGATTTGAAAACAAATATAGGCAAGCATTCATTTATAATTTTGACACAAACCAATTTTAGTTTCATTCCTCAGGCTATCAAACTATTGGAATAAATAAGAGGTTTTCGTTTCAAAAATATACAAAAAATCTTATGGTTTGGCACGTAGATTAAAATTTCAAAAGATGTGCGCAATTTGTTTTGGCATATTTGTTTCCAGATTATCCCACTATGCGGACCAGATTTAGGATTTAGGACAGAATTAGGACTCCTAATAATGGTCCGTCTCATAACATAAATAGTGAAAAGTGGGTGTTACGTTGTACAGTGGCACAATGTGCACCTCTGCCTACCCCTTCGGGGATAAAAGGCGTGATGTTATGTTATGTTATGTTAATAATGGTCCGCATAGTGGGAGAGGATTTATTTAGAGGATTACCTATCTAACTTATACCATAGGTAGTTTTCACCAATGAAAAGCAGCAGATCAAGCACTGAAAGCTAGCAATATGCGGTGATATTTTAAAGTTGCTAAAACAATAGATACTCTTCTTTCAGGCGGGTAAAAGGGCCTTGCCTCACTAGCAAATGGAGTGGCTACTGTGGCGAGCAAAGTTAGAAGAGGCACAGTCTATTTAAAGCCGTTAGGTTATAGCCGTTATAGGTTATAGCCGTTAGGTTAGGTGTCGTGGTGGCCCGGAGGTTAAGACGCCCGCTTCTCACGCATGAGGGTGCGGGTTTCGAAACCTACCAACGCGCAACGGCAAGTACCAATGTGACTTTTTCCCGAGTTATATGTACTTTCTAAGATTAATTAGACACCACTGTCAAAATGGTGAAGGAAATCATTGTGAAGAAACTGGGACTTATAATTTCTAATTATAAGTTTGGAATCGCCAACCCGCAATGTGTTAGCGTGGTGATTAACGCTCTAACCTTCTCCGTGTGAGAAAAGGCTTTGCTCAGCAGTGGGTGCTTATTATAACACTGTTGATGATTCCATCGGGATAGTTGGATACATAAAGATATTTCGGATTAATGCATTGCACTAGTTCATGCAAGACTTTAATAGATTAAATAGGGAATAGAATCAATAAATAAAATAAGTATTCGTTAAAGGTCTCGCGATACCCGCATTGAATTTATATCAGTGTGGAATAACAATTTATTTTCCAGTTTTCCTGTTTATTTGTAGTATACAATAACATCAGGTGAGATGTTAATAGTTCAATTTTATGAAAGATTTGTACTCTTCCCAAAAAAATTAAGCGCAAACAACTTAATTATAAGACCACTATAATCGATACTTCAATATTAATTGTAATGCTCAAAATGCCCCTTGAACTAGTCGAGGTACATTTCTCACCATAACTATCTGCAGCCACAATGATCATTATCATAAAATCATCCCTTTGCAACGTGAAAGAAAAACTGTTGAGGTCTCTGCCTGCCATATCCCGTGCGAACCAGCCAACAAAGACATACAATCTTTTTACATAATATATGAGTAAGGATTAAGAAATTAAATAATGACTGAAATTAATTAGGTACTAATATTAATTTAAAATGCCTGCCTCATTGGTCTTGGGTTCGATTCCCAGGTCGGGCAAAGTATTACTGGGTTTTTTCAAAAAAACTCATTAGTAGCACGGAATCTGGAATTGTGCCTGGCATAAGTGCCGTAATGTGCACCTCTCTTCGGGGATAAAAGGATGTTATGTTGTTAATCCAAAATCTATAGATGGATCCATCACATCAATATTTAATTAGTTCAACAGGTGGCTGTGATTATCGAAGAAAGGTTATGGTTGTGTTACAATTACTAATAAGCATAATTACAAGGAAGGATGTTTACCATAAACGTCTAATGTTGTATAATGTCCTGGAATGAGTTTTACATTCCATACCATTTTTTTACTTTTGAATCATACTACTTATTCACATTATTGTCAACGTCACTTTCGGCCTTGATACATGGAAAGTTTATCAATGACTGTCCGAAGAGGTCATGCTTGTAATACATCATCGTTCCGCAAAATAATGTATTGATCAGCATATTATGATTTGCACTTATAACAGTGTGTCGTAATTTCATCTCTATGACAGTTAATTAAGAGCCATTTGACCGATTGCGCGGCCTGACTTTGCGACAGTCCTGGGAACTCGAAACCTTGACTCCTACACGTGATCGATGTTCGCGTGTCGATGGTAGTTGCGAAATTTTACAAAAATTATTCGTATTGTTAGGTACTGTTAATGTCTTCAGATAATATTCTTTTGTGAGATTTCAATGTCACGTTCGATACGTTTGTATTGAATTGATTTTAAAATGATAGATGTAAATAGGGTGACGTCAAACGTGTGGAGCAGAAAGTAAAGTGTGTTATAAGTATTCACGGAAAGGTAGACCTTAGGTATTATAATAAAATCAAAACCGAATGAAACAATTACAAGGCGAGTCGGTTATATAACTAAAATGAAATAAACATATAACCAAATAAGTTATACACGTATCTTCTGGATAAAATAAAAAATATTGTCTGTTAGAAGTTATTACAGGACAACTTAACCACAAAAGCAATTTTGCATTCAA